TATATTATATATATATATATATATATATATATATATATATATTATGTTATTATATTTGCTACATTACATAAAACATATACTACTATAAGTGAATTACTTACTTTCGTCATAAGAATTTTCTTCAATGATATTGTCAGTATTTACTTCCTCGAAATTCTCAGTTTCTAAATTATTTTCCAACATTTTTTCATTATCTCCCAACATTTCTTCGTCGTTGCTATCATGAGGTTCATATATAAAAAAATTCGACTCGGAATCATCGTCATCTGACATTTTGTCATCATTCTCTGTTATAATCAAAAAAGGCGTTGCTTTATCATCGCTTGAATGTGATTCCTCCACTTTAAACTTTTCCAATATTTTCATTTTATTGTTTGACTTTGCTGCATTTTGTTCAATAAATGAACGCTTGGGAAGTCGTGCCTTCACCATAGTTTTTTCCGAAATATCATTTGCCTCTTTAGCATTTCTCTTTGGATTAAGTCTTTTATAAGGTACAAAATCAGTGTTTGTATTTGGTTCATTGTCTTTGCCCAAGCGTTTATTACTAATAAATACTTCTAATTCACCCAGCAGTTCCTTACGTTCTTGTTCTCTACATTCTTGTTGAATTTCGTTTTTAACCAACGCTTTACACTCCGGTAATAGAGTTTTACGTAATTCCTTCTCTACCTCCTTGCGCAAGTCATATCTAAGTTGATCAAGAACTTCATCAATTATTTCCCGCTTAACTTCACCCTTTACCTCGTCTCGCAATTCCGATTTGCATGTTTCATATATTTCTTTTTTATATTGCGATAATTTCTTCACAACATCTTTTTCCACTAAATTTGCCCTTCTCTCGTCTTCAGCTTTTAATTTTAAATGATCAATTTGTTTTATAAAATTTAATGAATCTTCAAATTCAATTTCGTCCTCGTCATCATCGTCGGTTTTTATGAAGCACTGGCTGATCCTACCCGAATTAATTAAGCGCAGATGTTTTCGCAGCTTGGAGTCCGTTGCTTGCGAACGTTTTCGTAGTAAATAGGATTTCTCCAATTGATAACGGCATTCAGCACAGATGTATTTTGGTAAATCATCATTTCTTTGGACTTCCAAAGAAGTGCAAGCCATAATACGCATTGGAATTGACATATTTGTTGTGGCATCATTGGTTGGATGTATGCTGTAAATGGCTCCGTTCACCTTCAAGCATAATCTACACAACTTCTCTAAATTAGGATAAGTATTTTCTAACATCTTGTATGTTAGGATTTTAATACACTTTAGTCGTTATTATACTTTAGTTCAGAATGGAAATTCTTTTTTATTAAACAACAAGCGTGAAACACAAACGCAAAATAAGCCGTAAAACTGTTTGTGTGCCATTCACAGTCTTGACATTTGCGCGAGTTATATTCAATTTATTGCATTTTGTTTTGCTTCGTTGCTTCGCATTTATTGTGAATTGTTATTAAAATTTATTTCATTTGTAGATAATTGCAAAAGCCGACTACAAAGTGAAAATAATAAAAATCTGTAGAAAGTGATAAGAATTTTCATTGAAGTTTTTTAGTTATAGAAACTATAGAAGTTTGCATAATTATTTTTAATATTTTTTTAATAAAATTGTAATTATAAACTCTTAATAGTGTAAGTATAAAAGAATAATTATTAAATTATTAGTTGAAGTTTTACATAAAAAGTTTTGTGTTAAATTTTGAAAATATTGCAACCACTAGTTGCACATGGTAATTCTTCATAATGTAATAAATAAAATTTGTGCATATTGATAGGAAATATATAACAGACACATTAACCTTAATTTTTTATATAAATTGGCGTACCAATGACGAAATACAACTGAAGTAGCACCAAATTTATGTTCACCAGATGTGCATATAGAGCAGCTCCGCAAATATTTCATAAAGTCATTGAACCAAAAACAAAAGAATTAAAAAATTCACACTATTATGACGAATGCGAAGAGATATTGATACCGAAAATATAATTGTAGTTTGGTAATTCAATATATCAATATAAAATAAACGGAATTCAGTTTTGCATAATTCATATGGAGTTGTTTTTGTAAAATTTGGACGCAGTATTTTTTTCTCATTTCGATAAAAAACCGATTTACACTGCTGTTATCTAAAGAGACGTGTTGATAGATTCATTGACAGACACAAATAAAAAAAAAAACATTTGTTCAAATTTAGTTATAATAAATAATTTAATTATTTAATTAATGTTCTTTCTTTAGTATTTGCGACTAAACCCAAATTTTGAAATGTGTTCTGTTTTATCTTCCGACACAATTTTGGAATACGTTAAACTCAGTGGCGTAACTACATTTATTAGGCCCATAAGCGAATTATAATTAATTTAATAATTAATTAATTAATAATTAAAGCGTTTCTGCTTTGAGGTTATCTCACCAACAAAGTAAATCAATTATATTTATTATGCTTAATTAAATGAAAAAAAAAAAATTAATAATTAATTAACAACTAGATCTCACATACTACAAGCTGATTCGGCTGATATGCTTACACTATGGATTTCCGCTTTACAAAAGAGCATAGGTGCAGCAATACAACATGATAGTCAAAATTCCAGACCACATTCATCGTTAGCGGCAAATGCATTAAATTCCAAGCGAAAAATGTAAGTTAATTATTAAAAGCATATATTACTTATTATTAATGTATTGGATTTCTTTAATCTATAGACACTGGGAGCAATTTTTAAAAATACCAGGCAATTCAAAGTGTTGTGATTGTCGTGGCATTGATCCACGTTGGGCTTCCATTAATTTAGGCATCACATTGTGCATTGAATGTTCTGGTGTTCATCGTAGTCTTGGCGTACATTATAGTAAAGTACGTTCACTCACGTTGGATGCTTGGGAGACGGAAAATGTGAAAGTCATGATGGAGTTGGGTAATGATGTTATTAATCGTATATATGAAGCACGTATTGGTGAACACTGTGAACTGAAAGTGCCGACAGAGAACTGTGAAATCAGCGTAAGAGAGGCTTGGATTAAGGCGAAATATGTAGAGAAACGTTTTGTTTGTGCAATGCCTAAACCACATGAGTTGCTTGCTAGTGAAACTGCAGAAATACTATCCATTGATAGTGGCGGCGGTGAAGGCAGTAGCATACATAAATTAGATACTACAAGTTTATGTAAAACGTTATCTTTAGGTGCGCGAAAATGGGCAGTGAAAAAGTATCGCAGACGTGGTCATAGAAAACGCAAGCGTTCCAGTTCAAAATCTGATGAGGATGATGATAATGAATCTCTAGATATACCTTCAATGTCGTTGAGTATATCACGTGAAGACTTACTTGTTATTGGCGAAGAATTAACAACAGAGTGTCTTTCAATGCCAGCTATTCTTGGTTCAGATCAAGAATCTACAGAAGGCGAAAATGAACCAGAAGTGCTGGATGAAATCCCATTTTCGAAATTAGATGCAAATCTTATGTTGTATAAAGCGTCAAAAGTACATAATTTGCCCGTCATGTGCATGGCTTTTGCTTTGGGTGCTAATAAGCATTGGAGAAATGTGAGTGATTTCAATCGCACTTTTCTACATCAAGCCGTTTTGTCTGTGAGTGAAAAACATTTTTGATGTTATACACATATTAACATATATGAATTATATGAATTGTTTTTTACATCTCTTGTAGGGTTCAGTTATGGCTTGCGAATATTTACTTCTAAATGGTGTACCGATTGACGCAGTCGATGATAATGGTTTAAGTGCACTGCATATGTCTACAGATAAAGGTTACATCGCACAAGTGTATTTACTATTGAAACATAAAGCAAAATATGACACTGAATCAAACGATGGTAAAAAACCTTTGGATATTGCAGTTGATCAACGTAATGCCGATATTGTCACACTGTTAGTACACATTTCGGTTTATAATTATGTATATAAATAATAATAATAATATTTACTTAAAAATTTGTAGTTTACGTCTGACGCGTCTTAACGATGAAATCGGACTTAACGACGAAGGTAACGGAGAAGATGAAACTTACAAAGATGTGATGAAAGATTTTTCGCACTTTGCAGCAAGTCAACCACGTATGTTGCGAAATCGTAATGATACAAATACACTCGAATCACAACGTTCCTCATTAACGAATTCAGATTAGTTTTAACCAGCTGAAATAGTAAAATGTATTAAAGATCTGCATATCGTTGTTAGGCAAAGAAAATAAAGCACTGAAAATGAACAGGAAATTATTTGCATATATACATACGCCAGAGTGATTGACGTTTAGTTTTATTTATAACTGCTTTAAATATAAAATAATTCAATAATTTTACATGTTATTGTATGCTTCGAAATCATTCGTATTGTTAAATATTGACAAAAAAATTATATATATATTAATAAATTAATTGTATAAAAATATATTTATTATTGTATATTGTTTATATTTGTTTTAGGCAAAATTATGTTGCATTTTTAAAACAATTTATTTTGTACTTGTTATGGAGCATTTGTTTGAATTTAAATTTTAATACATTATATTTGAAATTAGTTTTTAACAAAATTAAAATACAGATATTCTGATTTCATGTTTATTAGTGTGAGTCTTTTGTAATGAATGCAAAAGCTTCATACGACAATTTAGTATACATTAAAGTAGTTATTTAAATATTCATTAAATAAAATTTTTTTATATAATTTAAAAATTGATTTTATTTCAATTTAATGTATTTTACATTTATACATTAGATCTTATATAAATTATTAAACAAATATATGTTAATATGAACATACTGTTAATAAATAAGTATATAAATTTTTGCATAATTGTAAAGTTGTTAAAATTTAAAACAAATACTTAAATAAAAATAATTGAAATATTCACTTATATGAAGATATGCTTTATAAGACTCTTATGATATTTTTGCATTTCCATTAATATATTCGAATAGAAGTGAAAAAGAAAAATATACCTTAATTCATACATAAAATACAGTAATTAATGTTTTAATTAAACATAAATTTATTTAAAATAAGACTACATATTTACAAGTAATGAGATATGATTGACTAAATGTAGAGTGAGAAAAACGATTGTTTGTGATAAAAGAAAGATTATGGTGCGGGTGGGATAATAATTGAAACTAGCCACACTTGAGCGTTTAGGAAGAATCTAACCGCTTTATTTGGTACGAGCCAAAGATTAATACGGCTTCAATTAATTTTTATTATATTACTTCAAATGTGTGATTACATGTGAAATAGAGCTGGATGTGACGCACATATCGAAAAGTGACATATTTCTGCGTAGGGACTGTTTAGCACGTGGCTAAACTATGACCTAGTTAGACTAGGAGACATTACTATATGAGAAAGCGTATTTGATGCAATTATTAATAATTCACACATAACATTAGTAGTTTGGATAATGGGGAAAGATGCAAAATAAGACTTTAGATGGATCAGAATGGAAAAATTTTGTTTCCAATGTCTTGTTTTTATCAAGATATCTTCTAACTAAAGAAAGAAATCAAAAATTTAACATTGAAAAAAATCACGATAGGGAGCACGTCGGCTTAGATATAAATTATAATTTTAACTTAAGACTTACTTAAAATAATATAATCGAATTAACATATTCGTATATATTTATATAATAGTAATGCTCTAAATGTTAGTAATGGTCTTGACTACTTATTATACGCATAAAACAAAAAAAAAAAATTAAAACATGTCAGATGCTCAAGTTCTCTTCTAGAGATTGAACGAATGTCAGTTTTGCAGATGATGATGTGATGTGAATTAGAATGCCGATGTTTTATTATTTAAATAAGAAACTAACAATGTACTGTGTTATTTTATTTTTATTTACATAATTATAATTCAGATTTCAGAGAAACGTGTTAATTTCGTAATATACATATTTATAAGTTATTTATAATTATTAACGATTATTAATTTCAGTCCAAGATATCATCATTGCAATTAATTTGCACTTCTATTGATTCTGTCTCTTCTTTCAAGGGTTTCGGCTCTCCATGTACAGTTTGAACGTGTCGTTTAACAGAAGAATGATCCGAGAATTTACGATCACATTGTGTACATTGAAAAATGAGTCCGGAATGAGTGCCCAAATGCCGACTTAGTCCGGAGGCATAGTTAAAACGTTTTGGACACAAATGACAATTGTAGTATTGGATATGAGGCACTGCTGAATGAACTTTTTTAATATGTTGAGTTAAACAAATTTTTTGTATGAACGATCGATCGCATTGTGTGCATTGATGCTTTCGCTCACCGGAATGCACATACATATGACGTGTCAAAACTTCACGTTGTACAAAAGATTTTCCACATATCTCACACTTATGTGGACGATCACCGGTATGAATGCGAAAATGTCGGGTCAAAACACTTTTGCATGAGAAAATAACATGACAAACACTGCATTTGTATGAAACGCCCTTTTCTAGAATTTTACTATGCGTTTTCATATGAATATTTAATCCGTATTCAGTAGAAAATGCCATTGGGCAGGATTTACATTTAAATGTTTTTGGTATATCTGGAGAACCGTTATGCTCAAAAGTCTTTAGAATAATTGCCGAAGTTGTGGTTTTCGTTTCTTTAATTTCAACTTTTTGAACAGAATTGACTAATGTAGCCTTTTTGTAAGTTTTATTTGATTTATTCTGAAAAAATATTTTAATTAAAGAAATTTTTAACGGGTTTTTGTTTTTTTGATATACCTTGATATCTGGAATATTATCTACGTTTTGGAATTCAATAATATCATCCATTTTAAAAATTTTGTAAACTCCCACCTTATCATCGTCTTCATTGATATCATCATCCTCAGAGCATAACAACGGAATATTTTCATTTTCAGCTATAATAAAATAAAGTAAAGTTAAATAATTCATATTTTTAATCATTTAAATATAACCAATTATAATAGTTTTGTGACCGTTTGGAGTATTGATCCATTCTTCACCAGTCATTACTTGTTTATTGACTAACGTAATCACGCCAGTTTCTATTATTAAATATTAAAGGAAAATATTTGAAAAAAGAAACTAAATAACACAATAGCTTTACCCATATCAATATTATAAGTATCAATATTCATGATTAACGGACCTTTAAGGATTTATAGAACTTTTCAAGACAATTATGTATTTTAAACAAAATTTATGACAGTACACAAATATTTATAAAATTTAAAACACAGTTCAAATGAAAACTTGACAGCTAATTATACGCGTACTATCTCAATTAACGCATTGTGACCAGTTTTTTGCTAATTGTATGGCAATTAGTTGCATTTCTATAGCAAGATTTTTAGGAATAATTTAGTTAAAAAGCAAAACTATTCACTAATAGTATGTGTTGATAAAAACAAATAAATTAAATGTAACCTATTTTAAATATTTAGATTATAATACTCAATATTTGTTGATATGAAAAGCAGAAATACAAAGGAGTGAAATGAAGTACATGACGCGAATTAGAAAAGGTTAATCTGTTGTAGGTAAGTATTTGGAAGAGTGAGCATGATCAAAATGAAAGATTCTTTCCAATTTTGTTAAAAGAGTGCAGACAAATTAATTTGTTATCAAATTTGTATGTGACGAATGACAATTACTGTTTATCTCATTGTTTCAAAAATATTTTAATGACTTGGTATACTTATACTAATTACAAACTATGGAACAGGTCTAAAAATATATATTATATATATATTATATTATATATTTAATATATTATATATGTAATATATTATATAAATATTATATTATATATATATATATTATATTATATATATTTTATATTATATATATATATTATATTATATATATATGTATATATTATATTATATATATATATATATATATATATATATATATATATTATGTTTTTATATTTGCTACATTACATAAAACATATACTACTATAAGTGAATTACTTACTTTCGTCATAAGAATTTTCTTCAATGATATTGTCAGTATTTACTTCCTCGAAATTCTCAGTTTCTAAATTATTTTCCAACATTTTTTCATTATCTCCCAACATTTCTTCGTCGTTGCTATCATGAGGTTCATATATAAAAAAATTCGACTCGGAATCATCGTCATCTGACATTTTGTCATCATTCTCTGTTATAATCAAAAAAGGCGTTGCTTTATCATCGCTTGAATGTGATTCCTCCACTTTAAACTTTTCCAATATTTTCATTTTATTGTTTGACTTTGCTGCATTTTGTTCAATAAATGAACGCTTGGGAAGTCGTGCCTTCACCATAGTTTTTTCCGAAATATCATTTGCCTCTTTAGCATTTCTCTTTGGATTAAGTCTTTTATAAGGTACAAAATCAGTGTTTGTATTTGGTTCATTGTCTTTGCCCAAGCGTTTATTACTAATAAATACTTCTAATTCACCCAGCAGTTCCTTACGTTCTTGTTCTCTACATTCTTGTTGAATTTCGTTTTTAACCAACGCTTTACACTCCGGTAATAGAGTTTTACGTAATTCCTTCTCTACCTCCTTGCGCAAGTCATATCTAAGTTGATCAAGAACTTCATCAATTATTTCCCGCTTAACTTCACCCTTTACCTCGTCTCGCAATTCCGATTTGCATGTTTCATATATTTCTTTTTTATATTGCGATAATTTCTTCACAACATCTTTTTCCACTAAATTTGCCCTTCTCTCGTCTTCAGCTTTTAATTTTAAATGATCAATTTGTTTTATAAAATTTAATGAATCTTCAAATTCAATTTCGTCCTCGTCATCATCGTCGGTTTTTATGAAGCACTGGCTGATCCTACCCGAATTAATTAAGCGCAGATGTTTTCGCAGCTTGGAGTCCGTTGCTTGCGAACGTTTTCGTAGTAAATAGGATTTCTCCAATTGATAACGGCATTCAGCACAGATGTATTTTGGTAAATCATCATTTCTTTGGACTTCCAAAGAAGTGCAAGCCATAATACGCATTGGAATTGACATATTTGTTGTGGCATCATTGGTTGGATGTATGCTGTAAATGGCTCCGTTCACCTTCAAGCATAATCTACACAACTTCTCTAAATTAGGATAAGTATTTTCTAACATCTTGTATGTTAGGATTTTAATACACTTTAGTCGTTATTATACTTTAGTTCAGAATGGAAATTCTTTTTTATTAAACAACAAGCGTGAAACACAAACGCAAAATAAGCCGTAAAACTGTTTGTGTGCCATTCACAGTCTTGACATTTGCGCGAGTTATATTCAATTTATTGCATTTTGTTTTGCTTCGTTGCTTCGCATTTATTGTGAATTGTTATTAAAATTTATTTCATTTGTAGATAATTGCAAAAGCCGACTACAAAGTGAAAATAATAAAAATCTGTAGAAAGTGATAAGAATTTTCATTGAAGTTTTTTAGTTATAGAAACTATAGAAGTTTGCATAATTATTTTTAATATTTTTTTAATAAAATTGTAATTATAAACTCTTAATAGTGTAAGTATAAAAGAATAATTATTAAATTATTAGTTGAAGTTTTACATAAAAAGTTTTGTGTTAAATTTTGAAAATATTGCAACCACTAGTTGCACATGGTAATTCTTCATAATGTAATAAATAAAATTTGTGCATATTGATAGGAAATATATAACAGACACATTAACCTTAATTTTTTATATAAATTGGCGTACCAATGACGAAATACAACTGAAGTAGCACCAAATTTATGTTCACCAGATGTGCATATAGAGCAGCTCCGCAAATATTTCATAAAGTCATTGAACCAAAAACAAAAGAATTAAAAAATTCACACTATTATGACGAATGCGAAGAGATATTGATACCGAAAATATAATTGTAGTTTGGTAATTCAATATATCAATATAAAATAAACGGAATTCAGTTTTGCATAATTCATATGGAGTTGTTTTTGTAAAATTTGGACGCAGTATTTTTTTCTCATTTCGATAAAAAACCGATTTACACTGCTGTTATCTAAAGAGACGTGTTGATAGATTCATTGACAGACACAAATAAAAAAAAAAACATTTGTTCAAATTTAGTTATAATAAATAATTTAATTATTTAATTAATGTTCTTTCTTTAGTATTTGCGACTAAACCCAAATTTTGAAATGTGTTCTGTTTTATCTTCCGACACAATTTTGGAATACGTTAAACTCAGTGGCGTAACTACATTTATTAGGCCCATAAGCGAATTATAATTAATTTAATAATTAATTAATTAATAATTAAAGCGTTTCTGCTTTGAGGTTATCTCACCAACAAAGTAAATCAATTATATTTATTATGCTTAATTAAATGAAAAAAAAAAAATTAATAATTAATTAACAACTAGATCTCACATACTACAAGCTGATTCGGCTGATATGCTTACACTATGGATTTCCGCTTTACAAAAGAGCATAGGTGCAGCAATACAACATGATAGTCAAAATTCCAGACCACATTCATCGTTAGCGGCAAATGCATTAAATTCCAAGCGAAAAATGTAAGTTAATTATTAAAAGCATATATTACTTATTATTAATGTATTGGATTTCTTTAATCTATAGACACTGGGAGCAATTTTTAAAAATACCAGGCAATTCAAAGTGTTGTGATTGTCGTGGCATTGATCCACGTTGGGCTTCCATTAATTTAGGCATCACATTGTGCATTGAATGTTCTGGTGTTCATCGTAGTCTTGGCGTACATTATAGTAAAGTACGTTCACTCACGTTGGATGCTTGGGAGACGGAAAATGTGAAAGTCATGATGGAGTTGGGTAATGATGTTATTAATCGTATATATGAAGCACGTATTGGTGAACACTGTGAACTGAAAGTGCCGACAGAGAACTGTGAAATCAGCGTAAGAGAGGCTTGGATTAAGGCGAAATATGTAGAGAAACGTTTTGTTTGTGCAATGCCTAAACCACATGAGTTGCTTGCTAGTGAAACTGCAGAAATACTATCCATTGATAGTGGCGGCGGTGAAGGCAGTAGCATACATAAATTAGATACTACAAGTTTATGTAAAACGTTATCTTTAGGTGCGCGAAAATGGGCAGTGAAAAAGTATCGCAGACGTGGTCATAGAAAACGCAAGCGTTCCAGTTCAAAATCTGATGAGGATGATGATAATGAATCTCTAGATATACCTTCAATGTCGTTGAGTATATCACGTGAAGACTTACTTGTTATTGGCGAAGAATTAACAACAGAGTGTCTTTCAATGCCAGCTATTCTTGGTTCAGATCAAGAATCTACAGAAGGCGAAAATGAACCAGAAGTGCTGGATGAAATCCCATTTTCGAAATTAGATGCAAATCTTATGTTGTATAAAGCGTCAAAAGTACATAATTTGCCCGTCATGTGCATGGCTTTTGCTTTGGGTGCTAATAAGCATTGGAGAAATGTGAGTGATTTCAATCGCACTTTTCTACATCAAGCCGTTTTGTCTGTGAGTGAAAAACATTTTTGATGTTATACACATATTAACATATATGAATTATATGAATTGTTTTTTACATCTCTTGTAGGGTTCAGTTATGGCTTGCGAATATTTACTTCTAAATGGTGTACCGATTGACGCAGTCGATGATAATGGTTTAAGTGCACTGCATATGTCTACAGATAAAGGTTACATCGCACAAGTGTATTTACTATTGAAACATAAAGCAAAATATGACACTGAATCAAACGATGGTAAAAAACCTTTGGATATTGCAGTTGATCAACGTAATGCCGATATTGTCACACTGTTAGTACACATTTCGGTTTATAATTATGTATATAAATAATAATAATAATATTTACTTAAAAATTTGTAGTTTACGTCTGACGCGTCTTAACGATGAAATCGGACTTAACGACGAAGGTAACGGAGAAGATGAAACTTACAAAGATGTGATGAAAGATTTTTCGCACTTTGCAGCAAGTCAACCACGTATGTTGCGAAATCGTAATGATACAAATACACTCGAATCACAACGTTCCTCATTAACGAATTCAGATTAGTTTTAACCAGCTGAAATAGTAAAATGTATTAAAGATCTGCATATCGTTGTTAGGCAAAGAAAATAAAGCACTGAAAATGAACAGGAAATTATTTGCATATATACATACGCCAGAGTGATTGACGTTTAGTTTTATTTATAACTGCTTTAAATATAAAATAATTCAATAATTTTACATGTTATTGTATGCTTCGAAATCATTCGTATTGTTAAATATTGACAAAAAAATTATATATATATTAATAAATTAATTGTATAAAAATATATTTATTATTGTATATTGTTTATATTTGTTTTAGGCAAAATTATGTTGCATTTTTAAAACAATTTATTTTGTACTTGTTATGGAGCATTTGTTTGAATTTAAATTTTAATACATTATATTTGAAATTAGTTTTTAACAAAATTAAAATACAGATATTCTGATTTCATGTTTATTAGTGTGAGTCTTTTGTAATGAATGCAAAAGCTTCATACGACAATTTAGTATACATTAAAGTAGTTATTTAAATATTCATTAAATAAAATTTTTTTATATAATTTAAAAATTGATTTTATTTCAATTTAATGTATTTTACATTTATACATTAGATCTTATATAAATTATTAAACAAATATATGTTAATATGAACATACTGTTAATAAATAAGTATATAAATTTTTGCATAATTGTAAAGTTGTTAAAATTTAAAACAAATACTTAAATAAAAATAATTGAAATATTCACTTATATGAAGATATGCTTTATAAGACTCTTATGATATTTTTGCATTTCCATTAATATATTCGAATAGAAGTGAAAAAGAAAAATATACCTTAATTCATACATAAAATACAGTAATTAATGTTTTAATTAAACATAAATTTATTTAAAATAAGACTACATATTTACAAGTAATGAGATATGATTGACTAAATGTAGAGTGAGAAAAACGATTGTTTGTGATAAAAGAAAGATTATGGTGCGGGTGGGATAATAATTGAAACTAGCCACACTTGAGCGTTTAGGAAGAATCTAACCGCTTTATTTGGTACGAGCCAAAGATTAATACGGCTTCAATTAATTTTTATTATATTACTTCAAATGTGTGATTACATGTGAAATAGAGCTGGATGTGACGCACATATCGAAAAGTGACATATTTCTGCGTAGGGACTGTTTAGCACGTGGCTAAACTATGACCTAGTTAGACTAGGAGACATTACTATATGAGAAAGCGTATTTGATGCAATTATTAATAATTCACACATAACATTAGTAGTTTGGATAATGGGGAAAGATGCAAAATAAGACTTTAGATGGATCAGAATGGAAAAATTTTGTTTCCAATGTCTTGTTTTTATCAAGATATCTTCTAACTAAAGAAAGAAATCAAAAATTTAACATTGAAAAAAATCACGATAGGGAGCACGTCGGCTTAGATATAAATTATAATTTTAACTTAAGACTTACTTAAAATAATATAATCGAATTAACATATTCGTATATATTTATATAATAGTAATGCTCTAAATGTTAGTAATGGTCTTGACTACTTATTATACGCATAAAACAAAAAAAAAAAAATTAAAACATGTCAGATGCTCAAGTTCTCTTCTAGAGATTGAACGAATGTCAGTTTTGCAGATGATGATGTGATGTGAATTAGAATGCCGATGTTTTATTATTTAAATAAGAAACTAACAATGTACTGTGTTATTTTATTTTTATTTACATAATTATAATTCAGATTTCAGAGAAACGTGTTAATTTCGTAATATACATATTTATAAGTTATTTATAATTATTAACGATTATTAATTTCAGTCCAAGATATCATCATTGCAATTAATTTGCACTTCTATTGATTCTGTCTCTTCTTTCAAGGGTTTCGGCTCTCCATGTACAGTTTGAACGTGTCGTTTAACAGAAGAATGATCCGAGAATTTACGATCACATTGTGTACATTGAAAAATGAGTCCGGAATGAGTGCCCAAATGCCGACTTAGTCCGGAGGCATAGTTAAAACGTTTTGGACACAAATGACAATTGTAGTATTGGATATGAGGCACTGCTGAATGAACTTTTTTAATATGTTGAGTTAAACAAATTTTTTGTATGAACGATCGATCGCATTGTGTGCATTGATGCTTTCGCTCACCGGAATGCACATACATATGACGTGTCAAAACTTCACGTTGTACAAAAGATTTTCCACATATCTCACACTTATGTGGACGATCACCGGTATGAATGCGAAAATGTCGGGTCAAAACACTTTTGCATGAGAAAATAACATGACAAACACTGCATTTGTATGAAACGCCCTTTTCTAGAATTTTACTATGCGTTTTCATATGAATATTTAATCCGTATTCAGTAGAAAATGCCATTGGGCAGGATTTACATTTAAATGTTTTTGGTATATCTGGAGAACCGTTATGCTCAAAAGTCTTTAGAATAATTGCCGAAGTTGTGGTTTTCGTTTCTTTAATTTCAACTTTTTGAACAGAATTGACTAATGTAGCCTTTTTGTAAGTTTTATTTGATTTATTCTGAAAAAATATTTTAATTAAAGAAATTTTTAACGGGTTTTTGTTTTTTTGATATACCTTGATATCTGGAATATTATCTACGTTTTGGAATTCAATAATATCATCCATTTTAAAAATTTTGTAAACTCCCACCTTATCATCGTCTTCATTGATATCATCATCCTCAGAGCATAACAACGGAATATTTTCATTTTCAGCTATAATAAAATAAAGTAAAGTTAAATAATTCATATTTTTAATCATTTAAATATAACCAATTATAATAGTTTTGTGACCGTTTGGAGTATTGATCCATTCTTCACCAGTCATTACTTGTTTATTGACTAACGTAATCACGCCAGTTTCTATTATTAAATATTAAAGGAAAATATTTGAAAAAAGAAACTAAATAACACAATAGCTTTACCCATATCAATATTATAAGTATCAATATTCATGATTAACGGACCTTTAAGGATTTATAGAACTTTTCAAGACAATTATGTATTTTAAACAAAATTTATGACAGTACACAAATATTTATAAAATTTAAAACACAGTTCAAATGAAAACTTGACAGCTAATTATACGCGTACTATCTCAATTAACGCATTGTGACCAGTTTTTTGCTAATTGTATGGCAATTAGTTGCATTTCTATAGCAAGATTTTTAGGAATAATTTAGTTAAAAAGCAAAACTATTCACTAATAGTATGTGTTGATAAAAACAAATAAATTAAATGTAACCTATTTTAAATATTTAGATTATAATACTCAATATTTGTTGATATGAAAAGCAGAAATACAAAGGAGTGAAATGAAGTACATGACGCGAATTAGAAAAGGTTAATCTGTTGTAGGTAAGTATTTGGAAGAGTGAGCATGATCAAAATGAAAGATTCTTTCCAATTTTGTTAAAAGAGTGCAGACAAATTAATTTGTTATCAAATTTGTATGTGACGAATGACAATTACTGTTTATCTCATTGTTTCAAAAATATTTTAATGACTTGGTATACTTATACTAATTACAAACTATGGAACAGGTCTAAAAATATATATTATATATATATTATATTATATATTTAATATATTATATATGTAATATATTATATAAATATTATATTATATATATATATATTATATTATATATATTTTATATTATATATATATAATATATATATATATATATATATATATATATATATATTATGTTATTATATTTGCTACATTACATAAAACATATACTACTATAAGTGAATTACTTACTTTCGTCATAAGAATTTTCTTCAATGATATTGTCAGTATTTACTTCCTCGAAATTCTCAGTTTCTAAATTATTTTCCAACATTTTTTCATTATCTCCCAACATTTCTTCGTCGTTGCTATCATGAGGTTCATATATAAAAAAATTCGACTCGGAATCATCGTCATCTGACATTTTGTCATCATTCTCTGTTATAATCAAAAAAGGCGTTGCTTTATCATCGCTTGAATGTGATTCCTCCACTTTAAACTTTTCCAATATTTTCATTTTATTGTTTGACTTTGCTGCATTTTGTTCAATAAATGAACGCTTGGGAAGTCGTGCCTTCACCATAGTTTTTTCCGAAATATCATTTGCCTCTTTAGCATTTCTCTTTGGATTAAGTCTTTTATAAGGTACAAAATCAGTGTTTGTATTTGGTTCATTGTCTTTGCCCAAGCGTTTATTACTAATAAATACTTCTAATTCACCCAGCAGTTCCTTACGTTCTTGTTCTCTACATTCTTGTTGAATTTCGTTTTTAACCAACGCTTTACACTCCGGTAATAGAGTTTTACGTAATTCCTTCTCTACCTCCTTGCGCAAGTCATATCTAAGTTGATCAAGAACTTCATCAATTATTTCCCGCTTAACTTCACCCTTTACCTCGTCTCGCAATTCCGATTTGCATGTTTCATATATTTCTTTTTTATATTGCGATAATTTCTTCACAACATCTTTTTCCACTAAATTTGCCCTTCTCTCGTCTTCAGCTTTTAATTTTAAATGATCAATTTGTTTTATAAAATTTAATGAATCTTCAAATTCAATTTCGTCCTCGTCATCATCGTCGGTTTTTATGAAGCACTGGCTGATCCTACCCGAATTAATTAAGCGCAGATGTTTTCGCAGCTTGGAGTCCGTTGCTTGCGAACGTTTTCGTAGTAAATAGGATTTCTCCAATTGATAACGGCATTCAGCACAGATGTATTTTGGTAAATCATCATTTCTTTGGACTTCCAAAGAAGTGCAAGCCATAATACGCATTGGAATTGACATATTTGTTGTGGCATCATTGGTTGGATGTATGCTGTAAATGGCTCCGTTCACCTTCAAGCATAATCTACACAACTTCTCTAAATTAGGATAAGTATTTTCTAACATCTTGTATGTTAGGATTTTAATACACTTTAGTCGTTATTATACTTTAGTTCAGAATGGAAATTCTTTTTTATTAAACAACAAGCGTGAAACACAAACGCAAAATAAGCCGTAAAACTGTTTGTGTGCCATTCACAGTCTTGACATTTGCGCGAGTTATATTCAATTTATTGCATTTTGTTTTGCTTCGTTGCTTCGCATTTATTGTGAATTGTTATTAAAATTTATTTCATTTGTAGATAATTGCAAAAGCCGACTACAAAGTGAAAATAATAAAAATCTGTAGAAAGTGATAAGAATTTTCATTGAAGTTTTTTAGTTATAGAAACTATAGAAGTTTGCATAATTATTTTTAATATTTTTTTAATAAAATTGTAATTATAAACTCTTAATAGTGTAAGTATAAAAGAATAATTATTAAATTATTAGTTGAAGTTTTACATAAAAAGTTTTGTGTTAAATTTTGAAAATATTGCAACCACTAGTTGCACATGGTAATTCTTCATAATGTAATAAATAAAATTTGTGCATATTGATAGGAAATATATAACAGACACATTAACCTTAATTTTTTATATAAATTGGCGTACCAATGACGAAATACAACTGAAGTAGCACCAAATTTATGTTCACCAGATGTGCATATAGAGCAGCTCCGCAAATATTTCATAAAGTCATTGAACCAAAAACAAAAGAATTAAAAAATTCACACTATTATGACGAATGCGAAGAGATATTGATACCGAAAATATAATTGTAGTTTGGTAATTCAATATATCAATATAAAATAAACGGAATTCAGTTTTGCATAATTCATATGGAGTTGTTTTTGTAAAATTTGGACGCAGTATTTTTTTCTCATTTCGATAAAAAACCGATTTACACTGCTGTTATCTAAAGAGACGTGTTGATAGATTCATTGACAGACACAAATAAAAAAAAAAACATTTGTTCAAATTTAGTTATAATAAATAATTTAATTATTTAATTAATGTTCTTTCTTTAGTATTTGCGACTAAACCCAAATTTTGAAATGTGTTCTGTTTTATCTTCCGACACAATTTTGGAATACGTTAAACTCAGTGGCGTAACTACATTTATTAGGCCCATAAGCGAATTATAATTAAGGAGCTCCTCCTAATATCTTTTTATACCCTTTACACGAAAAAGTGTAAAAAAGGTATATTAGGCTTGTGAAGATTTTCGTATCGTCTGTTTGAAGTCTGTGTATCACAATTAGCAAAGGCATCATTTAAATCGTTTACTCCTTCAGTTTTGTTTTCATTTATTTTAAGAAAATTGTCTAGTTTTGGTAATTTCTTTAATGTTAATAATGAATGCATAAATTTATAATGGGGTCCCCTAAGTTCGGGGGCCCGAAAGCGTTGCTTCCATTCGCTTCCCTGTAGTTACGCCACTGGTTAAACTCGTTGTTATTAGTAATCAACAACCTTCTGGGTCAGATTAAGTCCACACACAAGCGATAACAAAAACACGGATTTAAGCTGGTGTCACTTGGTGTCATGATTACGTGGTATATATAAAAATTTCTAGAGTATAATGTACCTTTTCAATGCATAAAATAAATAGAAAAATTAAGTATTATTTAAGTACTGAGAAGTTTCTAATTAACAGAAAATAATAGTATAGGTTAGGTTTGGTTATGTTGGAGTGTCAGTCTTCAAAGCGGTCTTAAGTACAAATAATGGCGCTTTGTACTAGCACAGATGTACTAGATATCTGAAGAATCACTTTAAAGGTAGAAATCCTAAATATCTAGTGCACCAACAACACTCCTTTGAGAAGGTGCGATTCCCCTATTATATTGAAAGGGAACCAACCTGACAAGTCTTGTGGTATATGTTGTTTTTAACGTATGTATAATACAAACGAGTAGTTTTGTAGTTTTGATTTCTTCAGAAATAGTTACCTTCAACCGCTATTTAAGAAGAAAAACCTCAATACTAAAAACAGGAAGCTGTTAAATAAACAAATAATTTAACCGTCACATCTATATGGATGTGTAGCGTTCAGCTAGGCCTTAAATACTACTATTCGTCAGCTACAAATTCCACAAAGCCAGGGCTCTGAGAAAACTTTTCAATGCACCATGGTACATTAGGACGAATGACATCCTCTGGGACCCACAATATTGATCCGATCAAAAATATATAAAGGATAGAGCACTGAAATTATTTACAAACACTGACAGGCTTACTAGCACCGCGTTATCGAATCTCAGAATGGTTACAGGCTTCTCGGGGAGGCATATAGATCTGAGGTCAATTATTGTTTAGTCTGATGAACTGATAAAAAATAATCCAGTCAAAGCGTAGAGAGAGGTTATGCAGAAATCTCGCAGTTAATAGAGTGTAAAAGTTTTCAAGTGCACTGACTCAACTAGCCTCAAAATAATAATAATTGATATCTGCAGAGTGTCGATATTTTCATGTTATTCAAATTTTTCTATAAAATTTAAGCGAGAAAAATTTTTTTGGATATTCATTGTGCACAAAACTATTAAAACCTAGAAATTAAGTACCTACATCTAAGAACAACAAAACTTAATAAATGAGTATAGGTGAGATATAGGTGAAAGAAGTTATTTGAGAATGATTAAAACTAGTCTAGATCTAGGTGAAGGAACTCTGGTTCCTTTTTTAATTTTATTGTAATATTTTATTTTTTTTCTAATTTTCTAATTACAATTATTCATACTAGATATAATTGTTGACACTGATTGTATCATAACTTAAATATACTTGATATTTCCACTTCAACTGCTAAGTACTTTTTACAATGATATCAATATTTTAAGACCACTCCAAAAAACAGAGTTAGTCTTCCCTAAATCACATTGTATGAGCAAAATATAAAAATTGTTGAAATTAATTTATTTTTCATTTTTTAAAAAATTATTCTTAATAATTTTTACAATAAACGTAGCATATTTTTTTCTACTATTATAATATTTTTACTTATCTATTTTGATTTCAATTCACGAAAAATAAATGCTTATTCTGCTATCGTTCTACCCAACCTTGTCTTCTAAGCATTATCAAGGGATTTTGAGTGATTAGCCTTATAATGGTACCAATTAAATAAAAAGCAATTACAATAAGCAAAATCAACAACACGAAAATATTCATTATTAACTAAATACAAAATATTTATTTATTTAACTCTTAGCTACACATTTGCTCTTTAATTGCTTCTAAGAAATTTTAAGAGGCATTCGCACCAACTGTTGCCTGATTAAGTACTTCATTGTTACTCTACACTCGGTCGTTATGGCTTTACAGAGATTTAATATATGTGTTATATATATATGATTTACTAATAAAATAATATTATTACTAATAAAATTAGTTACTTCATATTTCATATATATTCTTAAATATATATCCAATTTATGAAAAATTGTGATTATGATTATGATTCTTATCGTGTTCTCATATCGGCGTATGTCATTGTTACCGCTGATCTCAAAAATAGTTGAGAATAAACTTCATAATTAAAGCCTATAATAATATAAGAATCGAAGTAGATTCTGCGAGTGAAATAGTACTTCGACCATAACAT